GTGTGTGTGTGTGTGTGTGTGTGTGTGTGTGTGTGTGTGTGTGTGTGATGAAGCACCAGCACGTTCGTGGAGCAAAATCTTCCCTAAAATATTGGGTGTGCACGTGTGTCTGAGGACAGGAACTGTCCCAATGATATTATTAAATCTTCTCCCTCTCTCTAATTTCACATGCTTCTCTTTATATTAGAAACGTTTTTAAGCATATTGGGGCAATCTTCAGCTGGTGTAAATTGACGTGTAAAGTGAAGTCAATGGAGCTTCATGGAATAACACCAGCTGACGATCTGGCCCTTTGTGTTTTGTGCTTGATTACCCCGACTCTCTCCCCTTGGGATCTTCTGCAATACCATCTGAAAATGTAGCAGTCCTTTCCCAGGTAGAACTTCCATTGATGAGGCTGGTACATGTGTAGGAATTGAAGGGTCAGTCCTTACAGTAAGACAGCACTGGGCAAATACACCTGCATAATGCATATTTCTTTTCATTCGTACATGTACCTTTGTGCAATTTTTATTTTAAAATTAAGGCTATAGGTGGACTATATTACGTCTTAGAAATAAATTGGACTTAACATAGTCACTTCCAGTTTGTGCAGTTTGTACAGCATGTGCCTCAGCAGACATTAGTCTCTTTGAACAGGAAGTCCCTAAGGTTAAGCGGTAGGTCTGTGTTTAAGATGACTCTGGTTGCCACAGTCATCTTAAACATTAATCCCTGTTATCCTCAAGCAGAGGCATAACAAATAAGTGTGAGTGAAATTCTGGACGTTCCTGAGAACAGGACAGCAGGAAAAGTCTTGCCCGAGGTTCTGAGCACATCCTGTAAGGGGCAGAAGGCTTTGTGCCCCACCACTGAAGTCAGCGGGAGCTTTGGACTTCAGCAGGCACAGGAGATCGCCCTGAGTGACCGCTGCTCCTATTGATTTTAGTAGAAGCTGAGGGTGCTCAGCCCCTTGTAGATTTGGATCTCAATAGTCTCTCCTTAGGGAAAAGTCTAATTGTGAATCCTTTGTAGATTAAGGTACTAATTTAAATACATTATTATTGCATGGAAAACATAAACAGCAGAATATAACAACCGACCTTGTTGACACAGAAGGATACAGTTCTTAAGCCCGTTATGTTAGTAGAAGAAAGCAGATAGGCTAGGAATGTGACTGGGTGGTGCAATGGCCCTTCCATGGACTATGATGAAGTTGCACTCACTTATGTCAGTGGTGAAATTGACTCTGGGCTCAGACCTTGAAGATGGAAGCACCAAATGAGTGTGAATCCCAATGTGCGAACCCTCATTTGTGGACATCTCAAAACCACCATACAACTAACCCTGCTTGTCAATCTCAGGTCAGAAGAGCGCCAGGGCTAGACTTGAGACATTTGTCAGGCATTAGGTGCAATGGTGTCTATACGTGAGAAGAACGCTTACCCAAAGCATAGCCAGGTCAAGTGGGACACAATTTTCTTGGGGGCCAGTCCAAGACTATGGAATGAACTCTCCCAGGAACAAAGGACCATCATAAACCTCACTGCTTCTGCTCCAAGTGCAAGGTTCCTTTCTTTGACTTTGCCTTCTCTAACAAAAAAAAGTTGCCCCTTTTCAACCAAGTTCAAAGTTCAGGGCCCTAAAGATGTTTCAGTTGGAAGTAGAAATTGATGGAAATCTGATATTTTTTTTGATGCAGTTTTGGTTATTTATAAGGAAGGTACAAAGTCCTGTGTCTCTGAATGCAGAAGGAACCAAGAACAAAAGGAGCAGTTTCTTGGTTTACAGTGCCACACTAGATCTTAGCTTTGTCCATGGTCACACTGTGCTTACACGCTCCTGCTTGGCTTTCTTGCCTCTTCTGTCTCTGTTCTTGTCTGGTCTCAGTTTATGTGTGATACCTTTTCCCTCTCCTCTCCCACCAAACATCCCCACCCAAAACAATACTCGGCCAAAAGCTCCTGGGTGGGTTCACGCATGTCTTTTGTCTGATACAGGGGCTTATGCTAATAGTTATGTTAATTGAAGGGTGGTTTCACACCTATCCATCTCAGTGGGGTTTTAATTCGACCCATAACAATAAACAGCAACGTGTATATTTATCAAAAACTACCAAAACCCCTAGCAAACAAGACACTCCACTGTACGTGCTTCACCCCCTGGGGAGCAGATGAGAGAACAATCCATGACAGATGTCAGTCATGTTGCTCAATACTAGAAGGTGCCCAGCTACTATGGTAATGAGAGTGGTATTAGAACCTATATACATAGGGGCTGGAACTAGCGCTGCTGGGGGCGCTACCACACTCCCTGGCTTGAACTGGTTTTCATGATATACAGGGTTCCCAGTTTGGTTCAATGGCTCTCAGTAGCACCACTATACAAATTGTTTCAGCACTCCTGCCTCTATAGATATAGAAGCACACTTTCCTCACCTTTGTGTGAATTGTAACATACTGCTTTAAATAATAATAATTAAGAGCTCCGTGTCTGAGGACAAATTTGATTCTAGTCAGCCCTAACGAGGGGTTACAATGGAGGCAGAATTTGCCCCTAAGTTATGTCTACACTGCAGCTGCGCACATACCTCTCAGCATGGGTAGACAGACACGAGCTAGCATGCTAAAACTAGCAGTGTGGCTGCAGCGGCATGTGCTGTCGTTTGGACTAGCTACCCAAGTTCAAACCCGCCCAACCCACTGGGTACATACTTGGTGGATAGCCCAAGCCACCTGCAATGGGCCATACTGCTATTGTTAGCTTGAGCTAGCACATGTCTGTCTGCCTGCACTGGGAAGCATGCTCCCAGCTGGTGTCCAGGCAAACCCTTAGGGACTGATTCTGATCTCACTTGATGTAAATCAAATCTAACTCTATTGAAGTGAAGAGGATTACACAGATGTAAAACCAGCATAAGTAAGAGGAGACCCATACCCTGGGTCTTTAGTTTTAAATATAATTGATACAGGGTCTGATTTTCAGAAATGCTAAGACCCACATCTCCAATTGAAGTCAGATGCACCTCCACAAATCAGGCCCTGACTGTACATTCATAAAAGGGTTAATATTTAAAAATATTACTTTGTTTAGCTGATGCTGTTGAAAAGTAGTAATTTTGTAATTTAAGAATTATCTAATTCTTCCTTATTATTATTATTAGAGGCAGCCTGTTTGCTATTTGATGCAAAAGTATATATTGCATCTGGTCATTCTTTATTGATCACATGGTTTAAGTATCACTTCACATTGTGTTAAGGTTATAAGAGATTAGCAAGTATTATTTTTTCATCTTCAATGCTCAGTAGGAACTTGATCCCATTAACATTAATAGGACCTACACATATGTGTGAAGCGGAGAATATACCCTGAGGTCTGAGACATGGATATTAACAGTGAACACAATTTTAGAATCTAGTCCACAAAAAGTATAAAAGCACATAAAACTGTTCTGAACTCTAAATGACTGAGTAAAGTATTGTATTTTTACATTGAAAGATCTGAGTTTCTATGCCTTAAGTAACACATGTAATAGTTGGGGTGAAATATTTCTGAATGCCATATTTTAATTCAATTTTGTGGTCTACAAAAGGACTAATTTATCAGCTGATGTGTTCTCTGACCTTAAGATATGTTTTTATTCTTTTT